TACTGGAACATCACAGACCTGGTGGCTATCTCGGTCTTCATCTTTGGGTTCCTGCTGCGGCTGGAGCCTGAGCCCTACATGGGATATGGCCGCGTCATCTATTGCGTCGACATCATCTTCTGGTACATCCGAGTTCTTGACATCTTCGGAGTAAACAAATACCTGGGGCCCTATGTCATGATGATCGGCAAAATGGTAGGACCCCTGGTGTGGGTTTCTTCTTATGTTTTCATTCAGGAAGCCGCACTTACAGTCAGGCCAACGCAATGTTACACAACCTTTTGTAAAGGCACCAGGAAATCATAGTCTTACATTTAAAAGGACTGTGATGTACTGGTACCTGGGTATGATGTACTGGGTTAAATGTCTCGTGTTCCCACGTGTCTCCAGATGATCGACATGTTGTACTTCGTGGTTATCATGCTGGTGGTGCTGATGAGTTTTGGTGTAGCTCGGCAGGCCATCCTCCACCCAGATGAGGAGCCGACGTGGCGCTTGGCCCGCAACATCTTCTACATGCCCTACTGGATGATCTACGGAGAGGTGTTTGCCGACTCCATAGACCGTAAGACTAGAATCCATAGTAAGACAGCTGTTAGTCCCCTGTCCTCATGCTGTCCCGACCCCGTCCTCCCTCCACGCTGTAAACTATCAGTTAGTCCACACACCCTGCTGTCCTCTCCCTCCAAAAACAACTGATCTCTGTATTTACTTTCACTGTACTTTTTATTAATGACTTGGATACTACAAATGAATTTTATTTTTTGCCCCTGGAGTTGATTTGTTGTGTTCATTGTGATTGTCATCCTCTCCTTTGTTAGACATATTCAGTGGTTCCAACATGAAGTCTTCTTCACTTTCTGAGGATTTTCAGCTGATTCTTTTTCTTCCTTCTTTCCTTCCGCTGCTCATGGACAGTTTACGCGATGGAAATCAACCGTAAGCATCTAAAAGCACTAACCCACTCAAACCAAACAGTCAATGTTAATGTGCTCATCTGTGCGTTTGAGATCATACTAG